AGGAGGGAGATCTAGGACATGAATGAAGGGAGGTCCTAAAGCACCTAGGAGGAGCAAAAAGCTGAGTTTACCAGGCCTCCTTTATTCTCTCTCATATTGCTGACTGACTATCTTAGATAATTCTTTCTCTACTGCTTCCATGAAGTTCTTTCGTCAGGCACTGAACTTTCTTTATTCTTTGTACGGGGCGCACAGATACCCATCCTAAACACTGCTGAATGCCTTGCCTCACCTAACAAGTATTGAGCTCTCTCTAGACCCCTTACTTCCCCATCTTTCTCTCATTCCCTTTTCTCAGGCCAATCATTGTTTCCTCCATGTACAAACTGCATGCCTTCTCTTCGCCTCTGCCTAGGCACTGCAACTCAGAGAGCAAAGGCAGGGGGAAGAAGAAGGCACCAATTCTTTAAAATAAAGGTCATCAGAAACATGAAATGGCACAGCCAGACATCTCTATTCAGACTTCTGAAAACAGCTAAAATAATTTTTTCTGAAAGGTTCTAAAAAAATCAGACATGGGTTGATACTTGGTATGGAAGATTCCAGTACAGATGGTTAATTTGGCAAAGGCACAAGCAACTGAAAACAGGCATTTATCCCGGAAAGAGATATGCCTTTTCTTTCTTCTGTAGAGACCAATTATTGCCTTTCTTGGTTGAAACTCAATAACGCCTGAACCAAGCAGTTGGCTCTCTACGAACAGAGTAAATAAAAAAAGACCAAAAAACTTTCAATATTATTTCAGCCAAACCCAGAATCCTATCTACCCTCAAGCTCCTCTATTTCAGAAGACAAAGTGCACTTTCTTCTCCAAAACGTAGTCAAAAAATGACACTTTACCAGCATGTGTACAGCAGTGCAACAGAAAAACAGCACACCTAGAAACTGTTTTCAAATTCGTATCAAGGCAAGCAGAACAAGATCAAGGTATTAGAAGTGATGAAAAAGGGCTGGCTGAGGAGACAGCCAGCTCGCTTTCTTGCTATCTGCTTTACTGATTACAAGAAAGCCCGGTGTGGCTTTAAAAACATTGTGTAGGCTGCTGGAGACATCCCAGCTGCATCCAGCTAAGGAAACTTCTCCAGGCAGGGAAAATTCACTGCTTCCTCCTGGCTTCTTCTGCCACAAGTTAGACTGCTCCTTCTCATTTAAAAGAAACAGTCCCATCAAGTGATATAATCTTGCCAAGTAGAAGTCTCACTGTACTCCCAAAGCTTTCACTATTAGCTTTATCATACTGCTCATCGCTGCCAGGGACACTCAGCCCCTTATGGTAAATCAAGGTTTTCATGCTTTCTGTGTAGATGAAATTTTGGGTAAGTTTAAAAAAAAAACACCTTTGACTATAGCATGAATAACACTGTAGCCGAGTTTAATTTCTTTATATAGTTCCCTACATAACTTTACCATCAAGAGCATTTCTGTTGTTTGATGGGCGTTTCAGTGTCCACCAAAGAACTTCCATCAGGTGCTTCCATGATAAAAGGATTTGTAAGTCTGACACTTAAAAACACTTTGTGCTGGGAAGAACTTCCTTTCTGCCCAGGAGCAGAATTACTGTGAGCATTAATTGGGTTCTAGCCCCTGCTGGTGTACACTGGTGTCCATCACATGGTATAATCTCCCTTCCTGTTCACTTGGAGATTGAGTCCGTCCGCTGATTGAGCCCGTCTGTCGCTCCCAGTACGTGCTCTGAACAACCTCCTTTATACTGTACCTTATAGAAGTAGAGGTCTCTCAAACCAAACCAAACCCCAGATATAAACAGCTGCTAAGGGAGATCTGGGCTGATCTGACATTTAAGGTTGCAACAGCAGACTATTCCATTTCCTACCTGCTCTTGTTGCTCTACCAAACAGATCATGATGATGCCCACAGACAGACCAACTGCAGGTCAAAGACATTAGATATCTGGCTCAACAAACATGACTTTCAGCTTCATGACTAAATCAGCAGCAAGCTGATTCAAGCAGTATCATACTGTAAACCTTTCTACATGGTCTTATAGGGATATCAAACCACATGGTGATAACTTACAAATCTATAAAGTGTATGAAACATATACACGCTTTTAACCTTCTGCTAGTCAGTGACAATACAGTAATGAAGATGGAGGATGGAAGCCTTGACATATTCAGATACCCCAATGTGAGCATTGCTATGCTGAGAGGAACCATACCTAAGCATAATGTTCAGCTTCTCCATCAACCGAAAGTACAGATTTTCCTTCTCATCTTACGCAGCTCTTGGGTATCAGTAAACAACTTTTCTTACTACCTAGATGGCTTTTTGCCCAGTCAGCCTCTAAGTATATTTTAAAGCAGCTCATCTCTGAACAAATAATCCTTAACACAGAGTTTTTAGTCTAGTAAGTACAGATATGGACACAAGACATTAGCACCTGCAAATCTGAAAAAAGCAATCTTTCACCCTTAAGCATCAGCCTGTCCTTCTCTTTCTTCCACTCTTCTCCCAGAAATAAATTCCCATTAATTTCAATGGAAGTTTCAACAGATAAGGCCATGGGTTTTGATCTCGATGATATGTTACTTTTGACATTTAAAATAATTGAATCTATTGTTGCAGTAAATAAGAGGCTAATAAAATACTTGCATGAGTATTTATTTTTAATAATTAGTGACGTTCTATACAGGTGGGAAAGCTTGGGTGCATGCCTGTAGGACGCTAATGTGAGGTTTTTTTTGAAGCGTCACATTTATCAGTGCGCTAGAAGAAAATAAGCCTGTATTAGAAAGTTTCATGCTGGCTCTCATTAAGCCATCTCATAGACTTGTCCTTTAATTTATTATAAAAATTAAAGAAATTTTCTCAGTAAGACCGGAGGTATTAGACTACAGCTCTTGGAAATTCTGGTGAAAAAATGCTGGTCTTCTGGGTGCAAAATCTTTTGTGTTACACATCCTGGGTTCAACTAACGCTGCTAAATTCCAGAGATGGGGCTGGTAGGATGCTGCTGGCTTCCTCTTCCTCCAGGATGGGGATGATGGAAACCACGGGGTCCCTAGCCCTGGTACAGTCCAGGAGTACATGTCTCCCAGCGGCTCCTGCAGAGCGCTCAGCACATTTGACATCCTTGTCAATTTTACTGCAGCTATTAGCTGGGGAGCTGACAAGAATACCAATTTTGCTGAGCAGCTGCAGGATACTGCTGGCTTACTAGAAATGAACATTTTAAAAAAAAATTGGTTTTGGATTCAACTCAGATCAAATGCAGTACTGCAATCAACAAACACTTTCTGCAAACTGGAGACCCTGTTTTTAAATTAGTTCTCCAGACACAGAAGTCCCTCTTATCAGGAGAGAAGATATGCTGAGATACCCTGAGAAAAGGAAATATATGTTTTAACTCTGGTTTTAATCACTGTGTACTTTCAAAATGTTTTGGTAATTGGGGCAAATCGACATAGCAGTTATTGTATTGTCCACAGCAGACTCTGCAGGCATTTTTGACCTAGCTTCAAACTAATCAGCCTAACCACCATAGTTTGCAGCTCAGTCCCAGCTCCTGGAGCTGGATAAACCAGGCAAATAAATAGTACGGAGGCTTTTGCAACCCATGCTAAGTCCTGTACTGCTGTGGTTATGCTATTAGAACACTTGAACTAACTTCCAACTAGTTGCCACTGAAGTGTCCACGTATCCAGAGCTGCTTAAGACCTCTATGATTTTCACAGAAACCCTGCTACACTGCACTATGGTTTTGACTGATATAGAACATGAAAGACAAGCCATTTGTTTTGCTGAAACATATCATTTTGGTGACAATAGTTTCTCAACTGTCAAATCAACAAATAAGATCATCACTCAGAGTAATATACCATCTATTCCGATTCGTTAGCCTTTGCCTGACAAATCAGGGAGCAGCTTAAACACCATACAGTAAAGAGTGCCATTAGGTATGGACCCTGAAAACTCTTATTTCTGCATTTAACCATGTGTTCACGCAAGAATTTGCTCTTAGCTAAATAAGACTTTGTGTGCAATTATGGGCCATTTCCACGAGTACAGGCGTAGGGTGTCAGAAGGTAAACGCAAGTCATCCCTGAAAGCTTCCACTGCGCAGTAAACAGGTCAGAGAGCAATCTGGTTGTAACTCAAGCCTGTGCTGGTGCTTGAAGATGCAAGATCCTCAGTGCTTTCTTTCTAGTCTACCAAGAACAATTAGAAATCAGAACACTCATGCTTTCTCACAGTCAATCTGGACTCAGGACTTGCAAAACACATGCACTAATTGTTGGTCATTATGGAGGAAAAAAGAAAAGAAGCCTTCTAAATAAATAACAAAGTCTTAAAAAAAAACCCCAAAACAACTACAAGAAGCCAGGTACAAACTTCCACCAAGTAAATGAGAGCCTGGATCTGGAATTCTGACTCGGACCAATTTACAATAAAATCCATGCTTTTGCAGTTTTCCATGCTGTTGCTTTGGTTTTGTTTTTTAAAGTCCTAAACTAAGAGCATTAAATAGTGATGGGGCAGAGGAAGGAAAGAGATGTGTTTTTCTCGGAAAATGAAGGACACATTTGTTACTGCCCAATGGAACAAATAATTTATGGTTGCGCAAGTTACTTAACAAAATGTCAACTCCTGTCATATGTTTTTCTTGGTCCTCTGTTAGCACTTACAAACCTTGAATGTGGCTGCATCCTCCGCTATTTCTGTCTTTTTATACTGCCATTCCCTTTACCCTTAATCTGCTAAATCAGTTTAACAAAATTTCTTCTGTGTTACCTCCTCGCTGTAACATCAGAACCTGAAAATGTGGCTTTGGCAAGCTGCTTCTTTAGTTTTAGCGCAAAGAAAACTTTTTCAGAAACAGCTAGTAACAAAATTAAAGAACTTTTAGAATCTGAGGCATCTCTGCCAGCCAGGTTACAACAACCTTAAAAGCATAAATAAATTGGATCTGCATTACTGATGCTTAGCCTCTTTGAGCAAACTGTTCAAGATCAACGAACCAACCCGACTGCGACTATTACCTGCAGAAGTGTGCTTAAACTTTTCACTCTTCTTCTTCCTCCATTTCCATGGCTTAAAAATCCTTCCAAGAGTGGCAAATTTGCTTCTTCTTCTGATCGGAGGTGTGTGAGTTCCAGGTACGAGAGAATCTGAACGCATTGCAGCCAGTCTTTCCACTTCCTCAGCTGTAGTTTCCACAAAAAAGGGGGAGGGGGGAAGGGAAATAGATGTTTTAATAAATTATCCAAGAACCACACAAATGGTCAAAATTTTCCATGGCTACAGAGGACAGTAAAAAAAAAGGGGGAAAAAAGTAGTCTTTATTATTTCAAATGTTATTGTCTTTCCTTTCCAGTGGAATCCATGCTCTGTTCTAAACATCAGTGTTAACAATCGGATTGAACACAAATATGGATTATTAAGCTAGCAAAGTTATGATCTTTAACAAATTGCTCTGCATAGCCCCAGACACCAGTTCTAGCCCATCTGCCAGCCATTCTTGTGGAAGTGTATGATACAGACTGGGGAAGAGAAAGCTGCAAAGAAATGATGCAATACTGTTTAAGGGAAACTGCGATGCTTTTTTGCAAGGGAAAGACAAATTTGCGTCAACTAATATTTATCAGGAGCAAGAACTAAAGACCCTCTTGTATTGTTACTGTGTCCATTAAAAACTGCCTTGGTTTCAAAAAGGACTGCATCATGGTTTTTCTAGTGACAAAATGTGACCTGTACATTAATTTCCTAAGAAGTTAAAAATGCAGAAGATTTCTTCCAGCCCTCCTTTTCTAGCTGCTCATTCCCCTCCTTTGTTTAACCTAAGGATATGCAAAATTTTAACAGTGTCCACACTTAAGGATGAATTCCCGAGGGACGTTACAGTTTTCTCCAAACTTAAAAACTTAAATTGCAGAAATCTTTACATTGTAGTATACCATGATATTCTCAATATTAAAAAAAAAAAAGAAAAAAGAAAAAAAAAGGATTTAAATTACCCTTCCCTCCTCAAGTAAGCACGAGAAATCTGGGGCAGGTACTCGCCAAAACTACATAGCATGGTCTCCCCCTCACATTTGCAGGGAATATATATGCTGCTATTTTTGAAAATCAATGCACCTGCAATCAGAGGCACAGACAGAGGTAAGCCGGGACGACAAAGGACAAAACCTACAGTGGGAAGGTATGGGTAGCACAGGAGAGATGATCTCTCCATGCCACAGCTGCCAGGGCTGCACTACAGCTCTCCTAGCCCTTGGCTGAAGCATGCACTGTCTCTCCCTGAGAAGAGTATCTGCACAATTCAATCAACATATAGGAGGATTTTTTTGAGGGATATCATGTAATTTCCTAGGCTTGTGCTGTTATGCAACACTGCCAGTAAAACTAATTTGAATGGTTTGTACAAACAGTCTGGTTCATAAAGACAGGACACAGATCTTCATCTCCTCCATTGTGAAGACAGTAGTCCAGTGTTTCCAAGTTTACCTGTAGTGTATTAAATCTCGACCTGCATCACGAGCACAAGATCAGGAACCCCAATAAAAACATTACAGTTATGAGGAGATGAATATATCTACTCCACACTGACAGAATCATCAGAGATTTTAGCTGGCAAATTCTTGTGTGTTTCAATGGAAACTTTTCAGAGGCTTTAAGTGTGCTGAATTTAATTTAGTTTTCATGAAACACCCAGAGATACATCTCTAGCACAAAGGCAATTCCATTATCAGAAATCCAAACTAGAAAGTAATTTGAGCTCCTCATATTTTTCCAAGAAAGTTTTTTTCATTATTGCCTTTTTTTTAACATGGGCAACATAATCCTTTTTCCTCTAAAATATCACTGCCAGATATAGCTGCCTAAAACTTTCCAAAGAAAAAAGCTAGCCAGCAACAGAGAGCCATCATGAACTATTTCATAGGAAAGGGTTAAAAGCAACAATTCTTTGGGATAATGGGGAGAAAGACAGACACTTCTGAGAACATTTTATTTGCACTAAAAGCCAAGAAAGAAAAGGTGGTCTGGTTAAAGCATTTCATTCTGTTGCAACTGTTCACATGGTGCGTGACGGCCCAGAGAAATCCCTTCTTCTACGCAGCACTCAGTGCAAGGTAGCATCCTAGACAGCGGCTGGGACATGCTGCAGCAAGACTGGAAATCGCCTGAACAAACTGTGAGGGTAAAAAGCAGAGGAAATCAGACATTTCCTTACAGCTCCTTTTTTCACTGAACGTGTTGGGCTTTGAAGACCAGAACGGGGTATAGACCGTGTGACTCTACATGCAAGGAGACCATGCCTTTCCCCCTCCTCCCTTTTTAAGATGCCTCTGGTTAAAGCACATAAGATCACAATGTATTCCACTGCTGTGATTTTTCACAGGTGCTGTTAGAGGTAGTAGGCTGGTCTTTCTTCTCTCTGCTTGCTTACTCGAGGGATACAAGCAGCCCCCTGAACAAACTGGGAATGACACACTACTGATGCTGAATTAGGCTTTCTGACACATAAACCCACAGCTGAAACATCATGAAGCCCCTCTGGCCTGCTCACCTACTCTCCTGTGCTCCTTCCTGAACCACCAGTGCTGCTACCGAGGTCTCTTACAGTCACTAAACCTCAGAGCTGCAATCCTGACTCCTCTGCAGTCCCAAGTGAACTGAAATTCCTTAAAAATTCCCTCTCTTCATAAGGCACATCTGCCATATTACACACCAGCTGTGCTCTCCCTGCCCCCAGGAAGGTTTACTCATTCACAGCAAGCTAGTGCAGATTCACGGTCAGGCAAAACTAACACTGGAGTCAAAAGGAGTTTACCCAAAGGGTGGGTTCCTTAAGAGCCAAACAGCGTCAAAACCATTTCCATATTTTGACTATTCTTCCTTGAATTTCAGTCTCTTGTCTCACACAGAGCTCTCCTGTGTTCCAGGAGTCCTGCTGTGCTCTCCATCAGCCATGAAGAGATGATGTGGCTCTTCTTCATCCTCTCCAAAGCGCACACAGCTCTGAGCTAAAGCAAATAACAGCTCTTTTATCCTCTCGCTCCTATTTTTTTAGAAGGACTATCTCATTTTTCATGAAAAATACTTTCAAAAGCACTGCTAATTCAAACCATAATAATCACTGGCTAGGAATGAACTACATTAGCATAAAGCCATGACATTTTTAATAAAGCAAGAATAAAAGCAGACCGTGACACGACAAGTAAAAGCCATATTTCTGCACTCTTTGTTTTCTGCTGCATCTTTTGCTCGAGTTGGCCAGGTTCCCTCGGCCTTTTTGGCTCCTAATGATTATCGACTAGCTGTAGGCTGCGACACCCACTGCTGACAGCAGGCTCTGTGGGCTGGTTTCACGCCCTTGCTGTTCCCAAAAAAGGTGGTACTTGCAAGATCGTAAACCAACCCAGACCTGCACATTTATTGCTTTCAAAGAGAAAAGCAGTCCCAGCTGGATCAGTTTGCTGAACGGGGAGGGGAAATGGCCATATGCATTAGTGCTTGCCGTCTCACTGTTGAGGTCTCATCTTTCGACTGGTGTCACAAATCTAAGATGACGTTAACAGGTCACCGTCACTGCTGACTCTCTCTGTGCTTTTGGGAACTTGTTCTGATTTTATTCCAGGATCTGAGCGATTTTGCAGAGGAAACAAAAAGACACTGCATAGTTCCAAAAAGACCTGCACTCGTGGCAAGAGGGAGATGCACTTCCCTCTCACTTAGATATCTGTCTGAACTGTCATCCCAGAATAGCAATGGTGAAACTAAACATAACAGCTTTTCACAGGCTGCTTGGTTATGAGACAGCGCTCAAGCTTTTACTGTAAACCTCAAAGTATTTGAAAGTCATATAGACTGAAGGGCTTAAGCAAGACTCATGTTTTTCATTAGAAAAAGCACTACAAATCATAAATCATATTTTGCATCCAAGTGATTTAAAAGAATTTTTGCAAACATTGTTACAATGTACTACAAAGACTTAAAAAACTAAAAAGTCTAAAAGCTAATTTCTTCTCCCCCCACCTTTTTTTTTTTGCTTTGACCCAAGATTTCAAAGGTATACCTGGGTTTTGGGTTTTTTTTGGTCAAAGTAGTTTCGAGGATCATAACGTACTACATC